AAGACCCCACAATCACAATGCTTCCTTCACTCCCTCTGTCATGGTCATGTACTCAACCTCTGTAGTAGAAAGTATCACTATAGACTGTAACATCGATCGTCAACTAACTGGAGCGAATCGCACTCTAACTATTACACTACAAGTTCACACAATCCTGCTCAACCCCTAAATTATCTAGAAGACCCCACAACCACAATGCTTCTTTTACCTCTGTAGTAGAAAGTATCACTGTAGCCTGTAACATCGATCGTCAACTAACTGGAGCACCATATATTCTAAACACAAAACCAGTAGTAGATCATCGTCTGTCTAGATCGCTCGCATAATCTGAGTCCACAAACCCATCAATCTGATACGTATCTCCACCAAAGCACAGACCCGTATCAACGGTACCCTTCAAGTACCTCAGGACCCATTTTACTGCTTCCCAATGTGTCTTTTTTAGATTCGCCATGAACCTACTAATAACATTGACCGACTGTGAAATATCTAGATGTGTACACATCATTACGTACATTAAACTGCCAACTGCAATAGCATAAGGTACACGTTCTATGTGTGTCTTCTCTTCCATTATAGTGAGAGATTGTTTACCTAAGAGTCTGAAGTGTGAAGCCAATGGAGTCACTACTGACTTAACACTTTGCATCTCAAACCTTGCGATAATCTGCTTAATATAGCCCTTGTGACTCAAGAACAATCGTTGATTTGCCCGCTCCCTTCTAATCTTCATACCCAGTATTTTTTTAGCAGTGCTCATATCATTCATCTCAAACTCTTTGCCAAGTTGAGATTTTAACATATCTATCTCTACCTTGCTTCTCGAAGCAATAAGCATGTCATCCACATACAAAAAAAGATAGATATAATCATCTCCACGAAGCTTTCGAATGTAGACACAACAGTCATAATCACTTCTAGAGAACCCATGCTTTATCATGAATAAGTCAAATCACTTGTACCACTGTCGAGGAGATTGTTTCAATCCATAAATTGATTTCCTCAAGTGACATATATGATTCTTCTTATCCTCAACCTTGTAACCCTCAGGCTGATGCATATAGATTTCCTACTCTAAGTCTTCGTGCAAGAAGGTCGTTTTGACATCAAGTTGTTCCAGCTCAAGATCACCATGAGCAATAATACTCAATAGCACCCGAATAGATGTGTGTTTTCATCACCAGAGAAAAAATCTCATTGTAACCCACACCCTCTCTTTGTGCAAACCCCTTAGCCATTAGTCTAGTCTTATACCTTGTACCGTCGAGATTGAAAGGATCCTTCTTTCTCTTGTACATTCACTTACAACCAATAGCTTTCCTCCCTACGGACAATGGGACTACCTCTCATATTTGGTTCTTCAGGAGAGATTTCATCTCTTCCTCCATCGCAGCCAACCAACTCTAACTATCCATGTCCCGAATAGCTTCTTTAAAGGTGACCGGCTCATCATCCTCTACCGAGAGTGCGTACTCAACCAAATTTACCTGCCCATAGTCCTTCAGAGGCTGGTCTGACCCCAACTTCTAAACCTGCTTGTATGCTCGTCTTGACCTAGTAGAAGCCAAACTGTTTTCGAGCTGTTGTTGTAGTGTTTGTATATTTTTTGCTGAACCTCCTCCTGTTCAAACTCATCATCACTCTTTTCCCGAGTGTCTCCATGATTTCACACTTGAACACTACCAGAACCTTTAGGTTCTATCTTAATCATCTGGGATTTTGAGATCCTAATAGTCTCAACACCATCATCATCGGACGTCCTAGCTTTTGATAATGCTATCATGAATTTATCATCTAAGGTAACATCTCTGCTGATCACGAACTTAAAATCTTCTGTAACAAAGGCTATAGCCTTTTACGCCCTTTGCATACCCCAAGAATATTACATTTTTGGCCCTCGCGCCAAGCTTTTCCTTGTTGACGTGATAATAGGTTGTACATCCGAAAATCCTAAGCCTATCGTAATCTGCATGTTCCCGTGACCATACCCGATAGGGTAACATCTTCTGTAACAAAGGCTATAGCCTTTTACGCCCTTTGCATACCCAAAGAATATTACATTTTTGGCCCTCGCGCTAAGCTTTTCCTTGTTGACGTGATAATAGGTTGTACATCCGAAAATCCTAAGCCTATCGTAATCTGCATGTTCCCCTGACCATACCCGATAGGGTACATCACCATCTAATATCGAATGTGAAGAACGATTCACTATGTAACAAGCTGTAGTAACCGCTTCTGTCCATCATTCTTTATCCAAACCAGCATATAATCGCATACACATTGCTTTCTCCCGCAATATACGGTTCAGTCTCTCTGCGACTCCATTCTGTTGTGGTGTAGACCTGACTGTCCAGTATCGAGCAATACCCTCCTGATCATAGAACTTCTTGAAAGCACCATCTGTATACTCTGTACCGTTATTAGATCTCAGTGTCTTCAATTTCTTGCTTGTTCTATTCTTAACCATTGTTTTCCACTTCTCGAATATCTCGAATACCTAATTCTTATGCTTAAGAAAATAAACCCAAGCATACCTAGAATAATCATCTATAAACGAGACAAAATACCTGGAACCGTCCTTGAAAATTGTCGGAACCGGACCCCAAACATCTATATGTATATAGTCTAATATACCTCTGCTCTTGTGCTTGCTTTTCAAGAACTGGACCCTAGGCGTCTTTCCGTACACACAATTCTCGCAAAAATCCATGTAATATTTCTTCATGTTTTTCAACAAGCCTTCTTTACCGAGCAGATCTGAACTCTTCTCTGACATGTACCCAAACCGCATATGCCATAACCAAGTGTGCTCACATGGGTCTCCACCACTTTCATTAGTTACAACCGCTGCATTTCTAGTCACTATCGTACCCGAGAGAGTATATAACCGTGATGAATGCCCTTCATCACTACTAAGGAACCTCGAACAACCTTCTTTACTCTATTTTTTGTAACTATCTTGCAGCAACCGGAGTCTAAAGCACCAACTAAGATAAGATTCTTCCGCAAGTCGAAAACATGTCTCACATCTGTCAGGGTTCTGATCACTCTATTATGCATCTTGATTTTGATATCACCAAGCATCATCATTTTACAAACATGGTTATTCACTATCAATACGATTTCACCATCTATGCTTCTATAGGTAGTAAACCACTTCCTATTTGGGTAAATATGGTAAGAGTAACCTAAATCAAGAATCCACTTACCGGAGGTATCTTTACCACACGTAACGGTGTAGCATTCTTTTTCGCTCCTTTCCTCCGAGACATAACTCGTCTCTTTCTTGCCTTCTCTTCTCTCGGTCTTATTGTTGTTCTTCTTCCCACCTACTCTCTTGTTAGGACAGTCAACCTTAAAATGTCCAAGCTCATCGTATTTGAAACATGATCTTCCTGCAAGAGGTCTCGATTTCGATTTAGACTTTTCTCCCTTACCTTTTTCTCACTCATTGCTCCTTCCTCTTACAAACAATCCATGTGCTTGCTCCTTGTTACCACTAGTGGCCATAACACTAGTTGTAATTTTTCGAAGATCATCCGCTAGAAGCATCATTCTAGTCTCATTCATCTTCAAATTGTCATCTACAAATATTAATGTTTGTACCAGGTTTTCATGAGACTTCGGTAAAGAAAAAAATAGCAGAAGTGTTTGATCCTCATCTTCTACTGTCACATCAATGTCCTTCAAATCTGATATAATCCTATCGAACTTGTTAATGTATTTCCGGATTATTGATCCTTCCTCCATCTTGCAAATATACAATTTGGATTTTAAATAGATCCGATTTGTTAGACTCTTCGTCATGAAGATACTCTCTAACTTTGACCACACACCCGCAGTCGTTTCCTCTCCATCCACCAAAAAAGCTACATCTCTCTCAAGGCATAGGATAACTGATACTCGTGCTTCGAGATCTAACTCTTCTCAATCCTCATCTGATATATATTTGTACTTCTTTTCTTTTCCTACCAAAGCCTTGTGTAATTTCTGCGAAATCAACGAGTTTTTTATTTGCATCCTCTAATAGGAAAAATCATTCTTCCCATTGAACTTTTCAATCTTATACTTTCCCACTTTGACTGTTTTATTGGTAGACGTCATTCTTCGCTTGTTTTAGTAAATCCGCTTCTCTCAGGAATTTCAACAAACACCTTGTGTGCACCACATAATAACCAAGCATCACCTCAAAATAGAAGTTCTGTCACCACCAATCTGATCAAGAGGCTCTGATACCAATTCTTAGGGGCACGACACGCCCACCTTGAGAGAAAGCTTTGGTTTTTGTTTTTACAAAACACAAGTCAATCTCGATGTTCCTGTTTCGCGATGGAAATAATAACAGGAATAATATATCTCAGCAAGGTGAGATATACACTCTTCTCAATATCAGATCTAGGTCTGAATATCGAGGAAACCAACAAGCAATAGCCAACACACAGAAAAACAATAAAGACACGAGATTTACGTGGTTCTGCAAACTTGCCTACGTTCACAAGAAGGAGTGATGGGAGATTTCACTATGAAGGAGAACACCGCCCACTTGCACAACCAGCAAGCTCGTCCCAAAGAGAAGAGGTTTCGATTTTACCCAAGAAAACTGACATCTTTCTTGTACAATCGCTCCAAGTTCTCTCTCTTTTCTCTCCTCAAGATCTCACCATTTAGATCTGAAAAACTCTCTCTGCAACCGTCTAAAACCTCAAAAACCCCTCTAGGAAACCCTAGGAACGAGTTCCTATTTATACCCAAAGAATTAGACCCGAAAACAGGCCCAAAAAACCGCATCTGAAAAATCTCGTTGGCCGTCTCGAAGCCCGCACGAGACACTCGCGCCAGCGAGACACCCCGCTGTTCACATAAAGCAATCTAGCTTTTAGTTAATCATTCTTCACTAACTTTTCTTGATGTTAACATTCCGAAGAGAATCTACCCAGTATTAGAAATCAATTCACAGTAAAAAAAATTAGGAGCAAAACAGGATCAATAGGAACTACTAATTTGCTCTAAATGTAGCCGCGGTGCCAACTATGAATTTTATTGCAAAAGACCAAACATAAGATAAAGCAACAAAATAGAATCTAATTAAACCAATCAAAAAATAAACAAATTTAACAAAATACCAAGAATCCCAGATCCGATCATCCCATCCATGACACGCTCATCGCGGATTCAGCCGCCATCGTAGACTGCTTCTGCCTCCTCAAGTTCCCAGAATTCTTCCTCCTCCCTTCAGCATGAACGGCCGAACTCGCGACCATAGAACATTCCTTCAACTCCTTGAGACAAGAATAGCTCTTCCTCATCGGGGAGCACATAACCCCACCTGATGCCCTCGTCGACACGTGCTTCGGGGTTGCAGGAGGCGGGGTGCCGAATGGCGCGTGCCCGCGCTTCGGGTTTGAAGGGGGCTTCTTGTTTTCTTTCCTGAAGGCCATTGAGAAATCTTGGATGGATCGTGAGACCATCGGGGGGCTTGGTTTCCTTGACGGAGTTGGAGGAGGGAGAGGGCTGCTACGTAATTTCAGGTTCTTTGTTCTGAGCTTCCATTCTCTGAGCTCGGCGTAGGCCGAGTACATCGGACCTCGGCGAAAAGGGTGTTGCGAGTTGAGATTGAGATCTTGGAGGTATGATGGTGCTCCCATCAGCTCAAGCATTGAGAGAACGAGAGGGGGGGTGCTCTTGGTTTTCGTTCGCTTTGATGGCTTTGAGGGGTTTGCAACGGTCGAAAATTTAAAGGGGTTCGGTTAGGTTTGGTGGGGTTTTTTTGTTTGTTTGGGACGGTTGGCTTCGTTTGTAACGGCTACAAAATTGGACTTGCTATGTGAGATTCTCGGAGTGGGCCGGCTGAGAACAAGTCATCGAGCAATCTTTGTACATTTGGGGAAGGGTAGAGTTAATCTCCAGGCATATATAATGTTAATGTGGGGGGGAAAATTACTAGCAAAAAAAATATTTATATGAGAGCTTCTACAGCAGCTGTAGTGGTATGAGTCACACCCTGTTACTCCGTTGGTCACAACAAAATAAATGGATTTCATCGCTCATTTTTCTTGACATGTCATTTTCCAAGTTGGTTGGTAGTCCGTGTCCCTCAAATCTTTATATTTGTAATTTAGACGCCCAAATCTATTAAGTTGTTTTATGCAGCACCAACATTTAAAAACCTAATGGATTTACGGGTTTAGATTTCAAATATAAAGATTTTGAAGCTGCATATGAAAAATAGGATAAAGTGTAGGTTACTGTGGAAAAACCCAAAGAAACAATTAAGGATTTGAAGGTGGACGATAAGCGATGGCTGCATCCTCTTAATCATCCAAATCCAACGACGGGAGCAAGGATTGATGCCGAGACTAAGGTCATTATGCTGCTCAGATTGTGGTTGTATGTCGTCATTAGCCAAAACAGCTTGCCTGAAGCTCTATACACTGGACTTGAGATAGATCACTTCGATCCGAGTCAGATGTGAGGAATTATCAGATCTTCTACACAAAGCAAAACTCATTTTCATGCATCTCAAGACCTTTAGATCCTCAGAATATTACAAAACAGTTAAAATATATGAAATTGCTATGAATACATGATCTGCTCTTTCACTAAACGAGGAAAAATTGAATATATGATACACACACTATGCAACCAAATTTGCAGGAGCACTGGACCTAGTGTTTGTATATGCAAGTATACAAATGGTAGATCTACTCTTCAGAAGAATTATGGACGTAACTGAACCGCACTAAACTTTGTGATACTTGTACTTCTGTGTCAGATTGAACCGATTGATGCTTCCGTTGAAACCTCTGAGTACGAGAGTCCTCACAGCCTCCATCCCTTGCTCCAAAGCAGAGTCCACCTAGAGGCAACAAGAAAATGGAATATTTATACTTTTAAGAACTATAGAAACGAAAAAAAAAATACTCATGTTAGCTAATGATATGATTGATGGGGTATTCATCAGTATTAGTTCAAGAGTAGTAAAATTCATTGTGCTGTGATAACAACTAACAAACGCTTGAGAATGTTCACGCATAGACATCATTCTTCCTGTCTTCATTGGGCATTTTACACCATAAGGATTCGACTTGGGCTCATCTTGAGTTACAGATCAGCCAACAATTGAACCAGTACTTTTCAGTTCAGATATGGGTCTTGTTTATCTGAGAAGTTGCTGAAGGTGTAGATGAGTTACAGATCAGCCAACAATTGAACCAGTACTTTTCAGATGGGTTCAGATATGGGTCTTATTTATCCGAGAAGTCGTTGAAGGTGGCAACCGCTATTAGTACGCTAATGACTATACTATCTACTAACAAGCTACTCATACAGCAAACTTCCAAATTCAAAATTTTCTTGTATAAAAAAGTCAAATATTATTCTTAGGTGTTAAATCCTACGAATGCAGAGAGAACAAAGATGGAAGCTATAGCCAGTGGACTAGGCTCTCAAGCTACTTAAAAGATCCCTTTCAGATTATTGGCGTCTTACTAAATAAACTTTTGACGACTACCCAATTCTCACGTGTAGGAATTAAACAACTTGTTTATCAAGTGCAAAGCTACTTAGATGGTTTAGCTGAGTCGATATTCTATCAGGAATATAACCCAATTAGAGTTTGAGAGACAGCATTAAGAATTTATGCATGCCTTATGCATACATGAACTCTCAAGATAATTGTAACTAGCCACTGTTTGCTATTTATGTTGTTTTTTATAGGTCAGAATTATTAGGTACCTTTGTGCATATAATGGGTTTATGCTTTGGTGTACATGAACACTTTGTGGTATCCTCTTTGCACACATGAGGTAAAGAAGTTGAAGTGTTTAATTTGATTGAAAACCGTCCACCTTTTTTCATGAGACGCTTACTGATACCTTCATATTCTTGTGATCAAGATTTTGTTTCTTTGTAGTTTCCTGAAGAGACTCAGATTTCTTTCCTCAAAACCTCAAGACATTTTATTAGTTCATGGATGTAGACAAACGACACCATGCTTAAGATAAGTTACAACTCACAACTCTACCCTCAAAGACATTCTAGTCATATGGATCTCATCTCACGAACATATGTGCACAGGTTATATGCTGATATCCTTCGTGTCATCACTGGAAGTTTTAAGTTTCAGCAGTACAATGACCCCACCTAACGCGAAACTAAATTTCAATTGCTGCCTAATCAACCAAAATTCTTTCTTTAGAGATCGCCTAAGAAAACAACAACAGGAATGGAAGTTTGCAATCAATTATCATTAAACAAAACCTCTAGTAGAACACCTTATGGAATGTCAAATTCCAAATCATATCATAATCCATATGGTGTTGGAAATAGCTGTTACTGATAACAATTTGAGTTGTAAAACCTGTGGATGGGATAAGCATTTCTGCCATTTCATAATGTAGCGGTCTAGCAGATTTCCAAAAACCATTGAGCACAAAATGTAGGACTTAGAATAGTTCATCTGCCAGAAATGGACAAATGACCTATTAACCTATAGATACTTTCTACGTGATCCAGTCAGGTTTTTATTTTCTTTTTCTTTTTCTTTTTCTTTTTTTTTCTTTTTTTTCAGTCAGAGTGGCGGTATATAAACAGGAAAACAACTTATGGCAAAATGGCTCAGGTAATCCACTTTAATCCTTTTTTGTCTGTTCATTTCATAGATCCAGAACAGAATTTTCAAGTACAAGCATATTTCCCTCCTTGTAATCCCTGAGAGAAGGAAAATATGTCAAGCACATTGCTGATGGTAGTGAAACAAAATGAGCCCAAAAATAGCACATTAAAAGCAGACACAAGCTCATGTAAGCAGTAAGCATAGTGTCATCCTACATATTTGTAACCAAAAAAAAAGAAATAAAAACATGACGACAAACAACAAGATATGGAGCACAGGATAAAAAGACTACCTGTGTGCGTTCCTCGGAACTAAATTTCTGTAGCAAATAAGCTCTCATGTCCATAGACCCAGGTGGGTTCCCAATGCCTACAATCATTACTAGTCTTAGCTTGCAGAGAACATAACCACACTAACATCCAAAGAAGTAGTTGACCAACCTATGCATAGCCTCGGAAAGTCACGACAACCATCCAAGTGTTCCATGACGCTTTTCACTCTGCAAAACACACAAGTATAAACAATAAAACTTTGTCAAAAAGAAAGAGAACCGAGCAATCAGGGGAAGGCTCCACACAAAGATGGATGCAATTCTAAGCCAAGCTTGCAACCTGAGTAGGTGCCAAACTTAATATCACACCAAATCTACAAAGGAAAAAACACATAATATAATCAGGTAAAAGAACCATATTCGAAGTGTATTACCCATTATGATGCCCATGGCCTCCCTTTGGTTGAAGCCTCATGACACCATTTGGTAAGCTCATTTCATCATAGATCTGAAACAACCAAATATGGCATTTAGATGGAAAGGATACTGATAGCTGATAAATGGTAAATTCTGTAAATTCAGCAAGCAATTTTTCAACATAGCATTTGATCATATGAAGTATACCAGTAGGACATGTCGCAAGGGAACCTGGTAATATGCAGCAAGTGGCCCAACCTTCCAATGAAAATAGAACACTTAATTAGATTCACATCAAATAACGGAGATGCAGAAGGGAAAGAAAGAATTTAGTTCAATCAACTAGTAACAAATGAAGACAACATGAACATGAATTTACGCCTCTAAATCAACGGAAAATATAAGATTCAACATACAGTTATTCATTTCAAATTTAGTATACACCTATACTGGTATATGCAATGCAGCACGGATACAGGTGTGGACACAGTCACTGGTAAGGATACGGGACACAGCAAATTTGAAAAAGGTAGGCTACCGGGATATGGCTATATACATACATATTTAAATTAATAATCTATAAGAGATTGATATTGTTTTTCATTCACATAATATGAGAACTAAAATCCCTATAATATTTTTATATTATTTTATTGAGTAGATTATAAATTAAAAAAGTGCGTGTTTTTCAAATAGATACTCAATGGCCACTTAAAATCATGCTTATGAACTAGGTATGTGCTAAAATGAACCCATCTAAGTCCAACAAGTTTGCATAAAGTTGAGGTGAAGTGTACGATATACATCCAAGAAGCATATCACAAGTTATTTAAACTAAAACATGTGCTATATAACGGAGTACACATCTGAATAAATGTGTATATATTCAAGAAGTGTCCAAAGAGTTTCAGACACGGATACAGATACGGAAAGTGTCAGACACGGATACGGGAGCCTAGATGAAATGTCCTGGTAACCTAGGATATATGTCATAGTAATGAACGTTTGTGGATATCAATTGCTACGGCTTTAATGTTTACACAGACAGTGTTTTCTGCTACAAATCTTTCAGGCTGAAGTGACACAAAGTTATAATCCCCATTGAATAAAAATTATTCCTGATTAAAATACCAGCCACAAGGGCCTCAACTACTTGGGTGCTGGGTTTATGAGCAGCCCTTAGAATAAGGCACTTGCATAGGGGCTGGTGAATGTGTGCATGAAGAAAAAGGGGTAAAAATCATCTCAATGTCTACCAAGTACCAATTGAAATATTACACTGAGTAGCATCACAACTTAATGGTCTCTGAGCATGGTTAATAAATTAGCAAAAAAAACACCACTCAGTACAATGGGAGAACAGTGAAAATCAATTTCATCCCATCCTTTTCAATACGTTTAGCAAAGAATAAAAATAATCCTAACAAAATTTAAATAAAAAATCAAACATAAGCACCAACCGACTCGCCACTGAAGTTCATGTAAGCCTGCGGCTTCACCAGCAAAATCGGAACTTGCCCAATTGCACCTGCATAATCCACAGTCAATCAATCACCAGTACTCCCAACAAAAAAGGCACCAAAACAGAACTAAAATTAAATACCAACTCCTATCAAAGCCTTGGATTGGATCGTATTCAGTGGGATCTTCTCATCTTGTGAAATCCTATCCACCATCTCAAACCCAACCTGCCCCCAAAAGTATCAACAAATCAACAAAAAGATTGAATATTTACTCCAAAATTTGAAAATATTTTTGCATATACAGCTAACAACCTACAGTATTTGCAAATTTACCCCCCAAATCTCGCACATTGGTTTTTCCTACCCCTCAATTTTCAATATCACAAATATTCCCCTGATTAACTTAATTAATTTTATTGATTTAAATTAGATAGAGAGAGAGGAAACACTTGCTAAATTCCCTTCTCTCTGCATAATAAATTAATAAACCTAATTAATGTATTGGGTTAATTGCAAACAGAGCCCCTGTAGTATAACGCAATTGTGAATGGAGCCCCCGTTAGTTCTATTTGTAGTAGATAGACCCCATCTAGTTCTATTTGCTGCAAACAGACCACCTGAGTGTTTTTCCCCCCCTTTCTGACTATTAAAATCATTAAAAATGTTTGAGAAGGTCGATAGACCCCCTATAGTTCTATTGGTCTTGGTCTTGGTCTTGGTGAGGATAGACTCCCAATTGCCTTTTTTTATTTACAATTACTTCTAAAAGAGTCAATACTACAAGGGAACTATTCACAAAAAATAGAACTGCAGGAGTCTATTTTCAACAAATAGAACAACAGGGGTTCTATTTGCAATTGGGTGATATGACAAGAGGTCTGTTTGCAATTAACCTTAACTTATTCAGGGATATATGATATATTGGTGATATTTGACAATTGAGGGTGCAAAAAAACTTCTGCCTGATTGCAATACGGCAAAATCTTGAGGTTAAAGAAGCAAGTGTCTAGAGTATGGGGATGAATTTGCGAATACAATACGGGGTAATTATGCGAAGAAACACAAGTTGAAAAAAAAAATTCGATCTTTCACATTGTGTCTTGTTCCGTGGTACTTGCTCCCTGGGTTGCCGAGGCCGACGATGAGCCACGGAGTGTACTCCACCTTCGCCCCCTCGTTCGCATCGGGAATGGACGACGAGATGCGGAGACTGCGACGGCGCTCCCTGGAGAGGGGGTGGAGGTTGAGTCTAGGGTTAGGGTTTTTGGAGAGAGGAGTGAAGGGAGAAGAGGGGAGATGAGTGATGGAAGCGAGCTCGTTTGATTGGGCCGGGTCGGGTTGGGGTGGGCTACTATACGAACGGTTTAACTAAGATTAGGGCCCGGCATTGTTGATCCTGGCCTCAAATGCTTTCATTGGGCTCTTGCCCTAATTTGGGGTAGAAGCTTGTGGATGAGCAATCGAACCGGTGCAATTATTTCGTATGCTTCGAGCTCCCCCCACCCCCAATTGGACCAGTCTATAAACGAAAGGACAGGCATAAGTATATGGTTAAAGAAGATGTGGGGGTCTAATTCGGAAATTAATAAAAAGATTTTAAGGGTTTGGTATATGGTTAAAGAAGATGTGGGGGTCTAAATTGACAAAACCGCAGAGATAAATTAGCTTGAATTTTGATCTAGCAATTGTGTGGGCCCATGGAACAGCAACACGGTTGATGATCGATAACAGGCACGAGTCCCCATTTCCTCTTCCCTTGTCTAATCAAAAGGCGCAGCCTTTTCCGTATCACTGCAAGAATATTGTTGAATGAACAGTGAAAACCTCTTAAAACTGACCGAGTTACTTGGGCGGAGCACATGCAAAACTATTCCCTCTGCTGATTACGCCTCAACCATGCGCCCAAAGTTCGGATGAAATTAAAATGAGAAATTCATTTATAAACCACAACATATTTATGTATGTTTAAATGCACAATGTTGAGCAAGCAATATGATATTCAATTCCATTAAGTCATTAGATTGCAATTTTAAAGATTTTTACCCACTGAAATGTGCAACTTTAAACGGTGCTTATTGTCAAATGAAAAAAGAGACGGTATCTTCATCTCAACAATATAAATGCCTGTTTGGCAACTACCCTAAAATTAGGCCAACTCCTTGTTTTAAAGTAAACTAGGTGGAATGCACGTGCAATGCACGTTATTAAATATTACAATTGTTAATTTTTAGTTTATGTATTTACTATAACATAGTTGCAAAAAAGTTTATGATTATCATAATATATTAAAAAGTTTTAGATATTTTAATATATAAAATTTTGTTGGTTTCAACACTCTACCTTACACATAATTAGTGAGCTTTAAAGTCCTAAAGTATTAATGATCTAAGAGCAATTTAATGATTTGGAATTCTTATTTTAAAATATTAATGATGTAAGCACCAATATCTTAAAAACTATTATTATTAATGAAAAAATAAATCTTAAACTCATCAATGTAAAATGATATGTTTATCTGGTCATAGAAGATTTTGTTTAATTATAAAGAAATCACTCACACATATTGTCTACTTCCACTTTCTATTATCTGGCGACCGAGTATTATAAATATTCAAAAACCATTTTATAGAATTTTCAAAGTTAGAATGTACAAATTCAATCAAGAAAGAAAATATAAATTATGTGATCAATTCCAAAATCTGATATTATAATCTTCATACATCTTATCAACTAATTAATTAATTTATCAAAATGATTACTCTCTAATTTTAAAAAATTATAAAATATAATTTGAGAATGATTTAAATATATTTTGTACACATATGGATTATATTTTAACAAAATAATATAGATCTATCCAATATTAAATAATATCCAAAAAATTAAGCTAAAGAGTTAAAAGAATCTAATAACACTCATATCCAAACTGTATGATTCATAAAAGTGAGACATATAAAATGAATAACTTAATTTATTTTGTTAAATAATTTATTACAAATCATAAAAGATAAGATTCATAAAAGTGAGACATATAAAATGAATAACTTAATTTATTTTGTTAAATAATTTATTACAAATCATAAAAGATAAGGAGAACCATAAGGATCA